GCGATAGGAGCTGCGTTTCAAAATACCATAGGAGTTCTTATAACCGACTGAAGAAGGTGATAGAAAATCATATAGCTGGCTGTAGAAAGTGGAAAAAATCATACGGCCGGGATACACGAAGCGATAAAAAATTATACAGCCGGTCTATAGTTCCTATCGCCGGGCTTTACACTTTATCGCCTGGCAGTTGCTTTTTCGCCATCGGCTATAAAAGGCTATAAAAAATTGTGTAGAAATTCGTGTGCTTTGTAAATCTATAAGTTTGTACGGAATCACCTTAATATTTACAAAATGCACATTATATTTTCCTTTACTACATATTTTTTTTCATCAATTAGAATGAGAATAATCCATACAGAGTGTGCAAACATTTCAAAGTCATGAGTTGAAAAACACTGACTCCACGAGATTACATATTAGAGCCTAACACAAAGCGGAGCGGCGCGCGGCGGCGCACTGACGCCTACAAACCTAACAGGGATACTTCACGCATTGCGCAATGCGTGAAGTATCCCTGTTAGGTTTGAAGGCGCCAATGCGCGTTTCGCGCTGGTTGCCCGCCCGCCGCGCCGCAACGTACCACGGCGCTTAAAGCAACTATTTCACACCAGAGGTATTGCACAGTATCATACGAAATCGCAGGCGCTCCAAGATGTTAGGAATGGCAGGCATCCTTCAAAAGTACGGAGCTTTCCTCGCAAAATAAATCAAGATACTACGGCCCAAAAAGAGAGCGGTAGTCCAAAAACTCACTGAGTCCTAGCATCCGTAATTAGTAACGTTTAGCATACATTTTATCGCCAGGCCGTTGCTTAGTCACCATCGGCTATAAAAGGCCATAAAAAATTGTGTTGCCGGCTATAAAAGCTATTGGAAATCTTACAGCCGGCTGTAGGTCTATGGTATTTTGGAACACAGATTCCACTGCCAATTTTTACCAGGGTATGCAATGGTGCATGCGTTCAAAATTCAATTGGGCAGCGTTCAGAGAGAGGGAATTAGGTAAAATTTTCAAAGAAATTCCGCCAAGAATAGTTAAGAGCTCGTCTGAATTCTGGAAACCTATATCTTCTCTCGTTAAATGAGTAAAGGCTGCAGAAGATAGAAGATAGCAGTGCAATTTCTCAAAAACATTTTTTTCACTGAGAATTTTAAGTACGGAGCTTCTTGAAATAAAAAAAAATCATTAAGTAATTCATCAACTTCAAAAGTTTCCATTGATTTTTCAAGAACTTGCCACTGTACATAGTTTCACTAAAAAAATTAATATTCTATCGCGGGAAATATGAAAATGTTCGAGCGCTCATTCGGTGTTTGCTCAAGGACGCCAGAATACCAGAATACCAGAATACCATAATCACCATCCCTCGAATCTGCCCCTTCACCATTCAGCAGCCTGATTGTTGAAATCAATGTCGGCACGACAAGAGTCGAAAATTCATACACTGGAAAAAAAACCACATTGGATCCAGAGTCCAGACTCTTGAAAACATTGACAAGAAAAAATACTCTTGATTCAATCGGATTTTTGCTTGAATCAAAACGAAATCCGCTTAAATTAAGAGGCTTGGTTCTTGATTTAAGCTAGATTCTGATTGAATCAAGAGTACTTTTTCTTGTGGACGTTTTTAAGAGTCTGGACTCTAGATCCAATGTGTTTTTTTCTTCTTTTTTTTCCAGTGTATATTACACGGCGCAGATAGGGATTTGTCTTGTATTATCGTGCCGACATACCCAGTTAAAGTTTCAACAATCCGGCTGCAGGTAGGTAAAAAACACGTTACACCTGTCGGGAAAACCGTGTACAAGCGGCAACGCGACTCGGCGCGCGGAGTTCCGAGAAATCCTTCCGCGACGATGAGCGAAGTGGAATAACTTCCGTCAGGGGGTAACTTTCTGGGGATAATTTCCCGGCCGCGTTGCCAAATCGTGCACTTCAACCCCGTTGAAAACACCCGGGACGAGCCGATGTGACAACCCACTTCCGACGCGGCAGGTAATCTAGTAAATGTTGCATCACGCCCGGCGAGGACACGTCAGGGGACAGGTGGGTGACTTCGCCGCCGCGGTCCGCGGTTCACCGGGGGAGAGGGGGGCCGCGGGGCAGGGGGGGGTTGTACTTCCGGAAAAAATTCCCGGACAGGTCAGCGGCCCGGCAACTCCTTGTACTCCTTGTTTAGCGATGTTTCACAAAAGGGACGAGCCCGGAGGATGATGCCTCGGGCAGATGCAGAGCTGACCTCTTCCATGGTGCCCCGCTGCCCAGCGTTGACGGGCGCTAATTTGAATTTTCCTCGCGTCTTCGCCTCGGTGAACCTGGAGAGAACATCGTCNGGGGGGGGGGGGGGTATCTCTAGGGTGGGTGTCTCTCGGTTGCTCTCTCTCCCGTGCGGAAGATGTGTAGAGAATTTTTCGGAACCAAAATGCAGAATCTGCAGGTGTTTGTGGTTTGATCAATTTTATTAATGAATGGAAACAACCACTGGATGAACTCAGAACTAGAAGCTGGAATCACACGCTGAATGTGGGAGCTAAACGTGGCTTGAATGTGGAAGTCATCGGCCCGATGGTTGTTAGTTGGTGTTACCCGATGCGCAAAATTCAGCACCGAGGCTCAGCGACCAGCGGATAATGTCGGATATATCTGAACTATTCGAATAGATTTGATACAGATCTGGATGAAAATAACTCGAATTTGCGAAATTTCAGCCGTTGAGCGATGACTGTTGACTTCCATATTCAGCCGCCAAATCCAGCGTGTGATTCCGGCAAGAGATGCATAATTTCATGGTGAGGTCATGAAATTTTATGAAAAATTTCATGCATTTTTTCACTATGCCATGAAACGCATAGAAACAGTATAGAATCTTGACTTTGAAAAAAAAAAAAATTATGGGTCAAATTTTGAAGTGTTTTTTATCGAATTCTCGGATAAGTAGGTGATTGTTGCTAGTTGCATGTACGCAGCCCTTGAGAAATCGTTGAAATTTCATTGAAAATAGAATTTCAATTTATGTCTGCTCAGTGCTCAGAGCTAAAAACGGGAGAGTATTCTCATTTTTAAAAAGTGCAGTCATTGGAGGGGCTACGACAGAATGGAACTACCTAATCTGCTAAAATACGAGTGTGAAAATAGGAATTGCGGCCCTATGACGACACAAAGTAGTAAAGTTTCTCACTGTCAAATCCATTTTTCTCAAATTTTTCAGAACATTCAAAAATTAGAGAAGCAGCTATACTAACCTCATCAAGCACTTTTAAGTGCAGCAATAAAATTTTCTCCTACAAATTCTCTGATAGTCTTACTTAGTCTCAAGTTTAAAATTTCTTTAATTTTGGAACATTTTCTCACTCTCAGTGCAAAAAAAGTATTAAATGAGCCGAAATATTTCAAGTATCAAGGCGCTTCTCTTTTTCTCATTTTTGCCACAAAGAAGACAAAAAAATTAAATAAAAATTCCTCAAGCACATTCCGACATTCACTGTAACCCTGCCCCTCCCTCCCCTAATGTGAAGTACCCTCTCCCCCTTCCACCCTCCTTTAAAAGGGTTTGTCGGGCAAACCTAGAGCCCCCTTTATTTACCCCCCAGAGTACCTGCCATCATTTGCGGATGGATGGCCCCCTACTTAAGAAAACGAATCTTAAGATAAAAGATGAATCAAGAAGGAAAATTGTCTCTGCACACCTGAGTTTGTTGCTCACGAATAGAAATTCATCAGGACTGCAATAAAATCTTGGCTGCGCTTGTCATCAAATTACCTTCGGCAATACGCGATCTCCTGATCATTGTCACATCAATCGTTAAGTAATGACAACTGTGTGGTTAGAGCATAAAAAATCCTGCCACTTCCATCCTTTTCTTTTCTGTCTAACTCATCTCACAGAAGTGTTCATGGCTTAACTGAACTTTACTGTTTCTTGATCTAGTTGATTCTTGGGTTGTCCAGAATCATTAAGGATATACTAAGAACGAGTCTTTTTCTCTTTCTTCTCGAGACAGACAGCTAAAGATTTAGGTTCAGAGGAGAGGGCTCAATCTGACATTTACAATGGCTGCAGAAATCAGAAGTCCAGAAAACAGAAACATTAAAATCCTCACTTCAACAACTGAAATACTCAAGTTTGCATCCTTGGCTTTCAAGAAATTTTGCAAAATAGTAAAAAGTACACAGACTTAATACAAACTAATTATCCAGGACACCAAGACTTTGCGAGACGGAAAAAAAGGCAAGTTGACAGAGCCGGCTTTCCTATTTGCCCCTGCAATTTCTAGTGTGATATCCCTGGTTCCAGAATCCTGGGATTCAACATGTTTTGCTTGCCTGCAAGTACCTAAGCTTCTAAACCCAGACATTAAGTAGGTATATGTGACCCCTCAAAATGATTTGCTCATTATTTAGGGGTAAAGAGGGTCATGAAAGTCTGCGCAGTGGAATATCGTTGGACAAGATTCTCTGATACTTGATTGTGTCTCATGTAAACTAAAACATGCACTGGAAAAGAGGGAGACCGTGAACTGAACTCGGTTAGGAAATTTTTTATCACTTGTTTTTTGGATTTCGGACTATTATTGAGTAGCTAGTTTTGGCTCATCAAATTTTACATGATTTTTTTTTACCCTTTATCAGTGCTCTTGGAGGAGTTTGTGTGAAAATACTAATTAGGTACTCATTCTCAGAAAACCAGAATACGAATGGAAACTTTAAGTCATCGTTAATAAGATCCATTAGCATCGAAGTTTACTGTCAGTGTGATTTGTTGGAATGACACACCATGCACTCAACATCACATTGAGGTCTGCTGAAGAGTTATGTAAAGTTTCAAAACTTTCCTACAGCTTTTTCTTAGTCTGAGAAAAAGCTGGTGGAAATACATACACCAATGATGGTGATTTAGGATCCAAAACTTGGGAAGCTTTTTGAATGGGGGGGAGGTAGAGTTGCTTATCCTTCGCAGTGATCAAAAATCAGGAAAAGTGTCTGAGGACGGAAAACTTACCAAATGAAGTACAGTATTGACGACTTCTTTATTTGACACCTGTCCAACTTCGATCAAGCCGATAAGAACACCGAACTTTAAGTTGTCTTTCATAGCCATTGTCACTACGTCCTCAGGACGCTTTATGTCACTGAACGGTGGCGCTGTTAAGTCCGCCATAATTCACACAAAAATCTCACAAACACAGAACAGAAGCACTAAAAATATCGGGAAAACTCGCACATTATCACCGTATAAACACACGAATAACCCCGACGCGACGAATCTGCCATTAGTTCGTCGCCACTACGTGCCTCAACTACTGATACTTTTCGGAGACTCAATACTCATCGGTAGGAAAATTTACGTTGCCAAGTCAAATACCAGTATATATATTAATCTAGATAAAATTCAACACGAGATGCAGTTAAATCTTTGGATTTTATACTTATCTGGAATTTTTTCCTGAAAAATGGCTAGAATGGTAAACTTTTTTCTCATTCTGAATAGTTTTTTAAGCAGTTAGTAATTTACATGATTAATTCCACTAATTTGGCACCCTTAAAATGTAGGTGGCGGGAAGTAATGGTGGGGGATACCAGTGAGGTGATAAAAAAAGGGGTAGTTGTTTTGTTTTGGGGTGTTATCAGTGCTTCGTATGAAAACACGGATATCCAATGGATATCTCAGCATTCTGTAGTTAAATTGTGTTAATTTAAAGATATTACTGCATTCTTTATCACATTTATGGCTCTAATTTTAGCGTCTGATTAACAATGTTGGTTTTTCGAGCAATTTTTCTGAATTTGAGTCAGTGAGCGTTGAGCGATGGTTCGCGAGTGACAACGTAGCAATTGGAAACAAACGAATTTCATTTGAGGTTAATTTCCTGTTGTCAGCAAAATAGAGGCTTTATTTTTATTAAATTATGATGATGACGACTTATGCACGTTTTTAAACAGTGTCGTAGCGTTTTTTATGAGGAAGCTTGATGTTTTATCCTCTGATAGTGATAAGAGACAAAAAGACCTAATTCTTGTCTCCCTTCTTTCCTCCAGCATCAGTGACATATCGTCCCTAAATCTTTGATCTTATATCAGTGCTTGTGTGTTTTGCCAAATTTCTGCGAATGGTGGTTCCAGGTAATGTATGAAACATTGCCTTTATAATAATAAAATAAATAGTGACTGCTACATCACGAAAAGTGCAGATCCACTATCATGGCTGATTCTGATAGTGACCAGTTTGAAAGTGCAGATGAAGAACTCTCCGATAATGAAGAGCCTAAGACACCTCTTACTCTGAGTAGTGCAGCGTATTCAAACAAGGCGACATCAGATGTCGCTCCTGAAATTGTTCAGCCTCAAAGCAAGAAGATAAATATCAACGCTGGTCTTCAAAAATTGAGTCTGCATGAAAGCGCAACAAACGCAGAAGAAACTCTTGCTAGAAAGCTTAACCAAAAGAATGAGAAAATACCCTCTGCCTCATCTGTGCCAGCAACGAAGGTTTCAGGCACGCGTGAAGAGGCTGTTGTAAAGCCAATTTCGAATATAGCTGCTGACAACTTTGAAGATGAGGCACCAGACAGTCATGCTAAGAAAGTTGCTTCATCAGCTCCTGAAGTAACCACCTCAAAAACTTCTACCACAGAGCCAATTCCTCAGAATGAGAAGATCTCAAAACTTGAATCAGATAATTCTTCCTATTTAGAGCAACAGGAGGTAGATGTGCTTCATTGTCCAGAAGACAATGAAAATTTTGAAGATGAGGGTTGGGACGTAGAGCCCCTGTCAGACAACGATTTAAGTTCTGAAACTCCAAAGTGCGTTCTCCAAACTAAAATAGCCACTACTGTCGTCAACTCTGATGTGGTAAAAGTCAAACAATCAGAAGAACAGGTACATAATGTCAGAAAAGGTTCAGAGTCCACAAGCAGTGGAAATTCTGATCAACTTCCTTCTCAGACATCTTTGAAGAGTTCTTCCCTGAAAAATTCTGAGCTCTCTCTCCCAAATAACAATAGAAATGTACCTGAAAGCTCACAGAATGATGGATGGGATGATGATTTTGAAATTGAAGATGATTTGATTGAAGCCAAGTTATCATCAGGAGAAACTGTAGCCCCATCGGACGCAGGAATTAAGGCAAACCTTGAAGACGATGAAGGGTGGAATGATGGATGGGACACAGAAGAGGTGACTTTTTCCCCTGAACGATCAGAAACTGAAAAATCTAAAGAAGGTAATTTATTGAGTAATTTTGCCAAAGAAATTCCATGTAAGTATTACATTTCTCCTTAACTATTGAATAGGTTTAACCTCAAGTATTGATTCTCTGTTGCAACGCATTTTGTAAAAAATATTTTCAATTTCAAATGAAGCTACTCAGCGTAGCAGATTTTGAGGGTTTTGGCACGTATTGCCTTTTTTCAATTTTTAGTGCTGTATACTTAAATCTAAAAGAAACTAAGGTGAATTCAATTATGAGGTTCTTGTGATCACTGTTCATGAAGTTTAAAAAATTACATAGCAGTAAATTATTTTTTGGTCCTTATTGTAAAGTCTAATTTGATTCACAGGTCTGGAGCCTTCAAAGACATCACAACCTACAAAAGATAGCATCTTAGTCGATGAAGCAGAAAGTAAAAATGTTTCTGGGCGTTCCACTCTTCCCATGACAACCTCAAAAGCGGCTGTACCAGAGAAATATGCAGCCAATCAACAACAAGGAAACCAAGATGGATGGTTCGGTTGGGGAGTAACCAACATACTCTCCTCTGCTACCGAGGGCCTATCGTCAATCACAAGCAATGTTACCTCCGCATTTGAGTCAACTATCGGTGCACCAGATCCATCAGAGATCCTCCTAGCTCAGAAAGAGCTCGGTCAGTTTTTTTTCACTCTTTGATTATTTCACAGAAGTTATGGAGACTCTAATGTATCAAATTGCATTCCTAATAAAATTATTCACAAAAGTTCATAGAACAATTTGGAAATCATAAATGTAAGATGTAGACACTGAAGATGGTCTTTTGCAAAGTAAGCTTTGGTTTAAAGAGAGAATGATTCACAGCCTATTCTCTCGAGAACATAGGAACTGTAGGTACTTATTAATGGAGTTGTCTTGAAGGAATAGTGCACAGCAATAATCTGCAAGTTTTCTACCTATAGTCAGACTGTAGGGTATAGTTTCCAAGGATTTAGGAAGTGTAAGATCGTCTCAGCCTTTGTTTAAAATAAACAAGGTGGATTGTTTTAAATTTTTGAGCGTTTCCCAATTTGGTACTTTTCCTGAAATTGCAAGTCAGAATAAATTAGACGCTTATACTCATTGTGTAAAAATTTGGAGGGAAAACCGGTTATATTTTTCCTGTGGACAGTCTTAAATCAGAAATTTTTGTTTTTTAGGTGATTCAAATGCTCCAGAAAAATGTACCAGTAAAGAACCAACAGAAATACCGAAAGAAGAGGATAGTGCCAGCTTTGGTGGTAATTTGTTTTCTGTCAGCAGTTGGACAAAGTTTGTGGAGTCAACAAGCAATAAAGTTCTCACCACTGGTTTGGACACTCTTGAGACAATAGGAAAGAAGACGATGGAAGTCCTACAAGAAGGAGACCCGGGGCTGAAAAAAAAACGAGCTAAGCTTCGAGAGTTTGTTGCTGAACCTGGAAAGCCAGTTTTATCTCAGGTATGTAATCAGGCACTTGTTTGTCTCTATAATCTCTTAGGTTTTTTTACATTGAATGAAGTAAACTAACATCTTGAAAGTAAAACTGCAAAAACTAGAATCTCATTTGCGGTGTTTCAAAATATTCACTCCACTTTTATTTTATCTAAGAACGAACCAACACTATCGCATGAAATTATCACAGCATATTCTTAGGCCGTATGGGGGACAGTACTGTCACAGGTTTAGCAATCCTGCGGACCCCAGCTGGTAGCCCCTGCCTCAAAGGGGGTGGGTAGACAGGGCTCTTAGCTGTGGTGAAAGCAACCTGTCTAGGAGAGGTAACTCCGAAATCAAACTCTGGCCCTCCAGGTTGGGGGTTGGGGCATCGGGCTGACTCCCCGATCCTCGGAAAAAATACACAATGTCAAAAAACCTAACCAAACTGCCTCGGTAACCATGGAAAAAAAACGGACTCTTCGACTCAAACTAAGGAAAAGGACACTGAATTTTGGAACTTCGAATGTCCAAGGGATATCGACGAAATTGACGGAGGTTGTGTCGGAGATAAAGAATCACACGGTAGACGTATCAGTACTAACAGAAACCAAGAAAAAAGGCCACGGATCTGAAAGTTTAGGAGATTACGACATGTTTTTCAGTGGAGTAAGTAAGGAACAACGGGCTCAGCAGGGTGTTGCAATTCTCATACGGAAAACCTTGTGGAAGTACATTAACAACTGGGAAGCAGTGAGTCCGCGCATAATCAAGATGAATCTCACGGTGTACGGGCACAGAATTGCACTACTTGGAGTGTACGGGGTGAATGACGATGCTCCTGTGGGGCTAAAAGACCAATTCTTTGAACAACTAAATGATGAAATCGAGCAAATTGGAACTACGAGGGAAGTGCTAATCATGGGAGACCTTAATGGAAGAACAGGTAGTAGGAGGGGTTGCAAGGTGGTTGGACCATATGGAGAGGAAGTTGTGAATGATAGCGGTATCCGAATCATCGATAGCTGTGATCAAAATGATCTAAAAATTTTAAACGGATTCTACCAGCGTCGCGACATTCACAAATACACCTGGGTGCAGCCAACACGAGGTTTGAGGTCCATTATTGACTACGTGATAGTGAGGCAAAAATCCAAGATGAAGGTTCAGCATGTGAGAGTGTGCAGAGGTCTCTCATGTGGCAGCGACCACTATTTTCTCGAAGCAAGAATAGCTTTCCCGGTGAAGGACGGCCAGCAAGTCGAGCCTGTACAACAAGATCAGCAGCAAGAAAGGGTTGTCCTTCATCGGAAGAAGTATAATATCGATAGTCTCCACCATGATAGCGTTAAACGTCTGTACAGGCAAAGGCTGGATGAAAAGTTGGTGGAGAGGTCTTTTAGCAGCACTGAGGAGCATTATCAATTCATTAAGGATTGTATTCACTCTGCGGCCAGTGAGGCCTTAGGAGTTTGTGAAGAAGATAACTCGAGGCGTAAGCCATACTGGTGGGACGCGGATGTGGAACGAGAGATCCAAGATAAGCGAAACAAGTACCATTCTTTTCTGTCCTCTAAGAGGGATGAAGACAAGGTTGTTTACAAGCAGGCTCAGGCTCGGGTGAGGAGTCTAATCACAAGGAAGAAAAACGAGGCTTGGGAGCAGAATTGCTCCAAAATTAACACCTACCTCGGGGGCAGAAAGAGTGCAGAAAGTTGGAAATTATTAAAAGGCCTACGAAGGGATATGAAGCGTGATATTTTATCTCCGATATCGATCCGCCAGTTGGAGGAACATTTTAAACAATTATTGACCGAAAGGCGACCAGAGTTTCAGGGAGGCACGCAGATAAACACCGATGAGGCATCCACTGTATCAGTCCAGCTCTTTGATGTGGTTAAAGCCGTCAGGGAGTTGAAGAATGTGAAAGCTTATGGACCCGGAGATATTCCCTCAGAATTAATTAAATGTGGGTCCAACAGGCTGTTCCATTGCTTAAGGGACTTAATGGATAAATGTGGGAAGGGTGATGAAGTCCCGAAGGAGTGGAAAGAATGTTGGATTACAGCTACCCACAAAAAAGGGAAAAAGGACGATCTCGATAATTATCGTGGATTGTCGGTGACCGGGACGATCAGCAAAATTTATGGTAAGATATTGAAAGCTAAAATCGAAGAAGAATGGATTCATCATGAGGCAGAAGAGCAAGCGGGTTTCAGGGCTGGCAGATCAACCGTCGACCATCTATTTTGCATCACCCAGGTTATTGAGAAGAAGATGGCGGTTGGTCAAGAATTGCATTTGGTGTTCGTGGATTTGCGAAAAGCCTATGATAGCGTGCCTTTAGTGAAACTCTGGGAGGCCTTGGAAAAATCTGATTTTACTCGTGGACTAATTAATGCAATTAAGCTTTTTTATCAAGGGACTTTCGCAAGAATTAAATGTAAAGGGGGCTTGTCGGGGGGTTTTTGTGTAACAAAGGGACTAAAGCAAGGGTGTTGCCTCTCCCCCACCTTGTTTAAAATATACTTAGAACATGTACTGCGTGAATGGAAGAAAAAATGTTCCGGAATGGGTGTCCCTCTAAATAATGAAGAAACTCTTTACACGTTATGCTTTGCCGATGATCAAGTACTTATCGCCCAAGATCAAGATGATGCTGAGTACATGACTCGAAAGTTGGTGGCTGAGTATCGGAAATGGGGCCTCGAGGTGAATGTCAGCAAAACCGAGAAGTTGACCGTTGGCGGGAATCAGCAAAGTATAGAATTAGAGGATGGGCGGCAAATTGGAAGCTGCGATATTTACAAATATTTAGGAGTGTTTTTAACCCAGGATGGAAGATTGGACCAGGCCATCAAGAAGAGGAATATGCTGGGTAGGAGGGCAATCGCTATGTTAAATGGAGTCCTTTGGGACCAAAGGATCTCCAAAGAGAACAAAAGGAGGATTTACAACGCGATTGTCAAGAGCATAGTAACCTACGGGTGTGAAGTATGGCCGATGAAACAGCAGACCCGGGAGGTTTTAGAGGCAACAGAGATGGACTTCTGGCGTAGATCCGCCGGTATTTCCAGAAAGGATCGCGTCAGGAATGAGACGGTACATGATATCATGGATGCCAAGCAGACCATCGTGCATGACATTTTGACAAAACAACTCATCTGGTATGGTCATGTCCAGAGAATGGCAGGAGACAGGTTGCCGAAGAAGGTCCTTGACTGGGTTCCTCCTGGGAGAAGACGCAGAGGGCGCCCAATGAAAGGTTGGAGGGACGGGATTGAAGCAGAAATGTTGAGGTGCTCAATCCCCCAAGATTTGTGGTTTGAAAGAGAGCAGTGGAGGTTAGGAGTCGTAGAGCGCGAGGGAGTGTTGTAAAGCGACTTGTATGTATGTATATTCTTAGCACAAAGAATGAAAGTTTTCAAGAAATAAGGTTTAATATTTCTCCATTCAGAAAGTAAATTATGATAGAAAATCAGGAACATTTTGAAGTTCCACTCACGCTGCATACACTACAATTATTTTTCTTATGGCTCTCAAGGTAAGAAATTCCCAGTCGGTACTGTTATACTGCAAAAAAAATTGAAAATTTATTTCAATTTTTCTCCTCTTATGCAGTGTATGCTCAAAAAATTTAAAACGATGTTATTAGACAGCCTCACAGTAAAAGAAGAGTGTGAATCGAACTTTTTCTACACCATTATAAAATTATATGTTTGTAAATCAAGTAGATGTAATGTCTAAAAATAAACATAACGTCCTATCCATTGGTTTAGGTGTTACGAGAGGCAAAAGAAAAAGCAGAGACATCAAGTCGGAAGAATGAATCAGCACTAATTGAAAGCAAAGCTAATTTTGAAATCTTATTCGATGACTTTGAAGGTGAGACTTTATTTTCTTCAGAAAGTAATTTTACGCATTAGAATAGCCTCTTGCGAGCATTCATTTGTTCCCTCGTAGAATACGATTATTAAAAAAATCTATAATGCATGAAGCAGATACAAAAAATGAAACTGAGTACCAAATATCAATCGTGTCCGTTTGATAGAGGCTACGTTAACCTGTAGAAAATGCTTAAAGCATGACAGTCAAACTGCTAGTTAGATTAATTTTGGTAAGTGCAACTCAAGGATCATAAGCGTCCGAGAAGATAATGTGCAGATGAAACAAAAACAGCTAAGTTTCTGTCACCACAAACTTCCTTTGAATTGGAATACTACCCCAACTCTTTTCAATGATGATGAGTTATTGGAAAAATTATTTGGAGAGAGAAAAATCGATTTTTAAATGTGCCTCTCATATTCCTCCAGCATTGTAGTTTTTTTCCTTATTCCATCTAATTACTCTGAAGACTGTTGCTTTATGTGTATTTTACGCTCACATGTATTTTTTCAGGGCTTGTTCATTTGGAAGCTTTGGAAATGATATCCAAACAGTGTCAAATAAAATTAGATTCTCTTGCACTGACATTCTCTGGCAAAGAAGCTACAAATTTCAAAGAAACACTTCTGGAGATTGAAGAATTTTGTGAGTTACCTGAAGATGACGAAAGTATCTCAAAGGAGGCGATGGCTGATAATGCTCAATTTAAACTCAAAATTAAAGAAATTCTAACTCAACTAGATGTGGAAATTCAATACAGCAAGTTGCTAGAGGTATGCATTTATTTACATCTACTCAAAATTCTAAACCCATTTGTTTTTTAAGATTGAAAAGTTTGGTCGGTATTGTAAGTTTTAGGTAACTCATTTTATTCATTCCAAAATTTCCTGTAGAAATGGTGCACACAACAGATAATTTTGAAATTGATTTATTAGATTTAAGTCTGAACAACTGATTAGCCAGTAGATAGACAAGTTATGAACTAAAGCACATGTCAGGCTTCATCTATAAATTTTTTTGTAAAGAACACGTAACGCAATGGTAAGTTTGGAATTAACTCCTGAGCATTCAACTCCTGAATTCATTTCAAACGTAACATTGAGTAAATGGATTAAAAATTTCATAAGTGATGTCATTTACCTCTGCAACATTTAAGTAATGTTAATTCCAAATACCTAAATATTCTGACGAAGTTGATCTTCAAACTTTCCACTGTGTGAATTTTTATGTAAAATTTTGAAAAGAATATGAGTTCTCTTGTTCGTACCTTGCCCAGCGTCCATTAACTTTAAATAATGGGCCTGTTGCAAATTTTTGCAGAAATAAGAGTTGTTCCTTACAGATAATGTCTCAAAAATCACGATGAGTGCATTGACAAACTCTGAAATGCACTCCTAACTTCACTATCTGCGTAAGAAATTTGCGTTTTTTTAAGCTTTCCGCTTCCAAAAGGATACTACGGCAAAGGTGAACATTTCATTAGAGGAGTTGTTCCATTCAATCCCTGCTCAACATGGTCGACGCTTCCGCCCGGAAGTGGAGGAGAGCACGAGGTCAATCAAGGTGGATATCTAACAACAGAGAAAAATGTGAATGTAAACACACCGATTGTTATCACGTGGTTAGAATCATCGTCCCGTCAAATGTGTTTTGGCGGATTGGCGTCGGCTATGTTGAATATTGCGTATTATTCTTGTGAGCAAGGGTTGGATAGAATAACTCCTCTAACGAAATGTTCACCTATGCCGTGGTATCATTTTGAAGCGGGAAGCTGAAAAAAACGCAAATTTCTTACGCAAATTGTGAAGTAAGGAGTGCATTTCAGACTTTGCCGATGCAATTGTGATATTTGAGACACTTTTTTGGAGTAACAACCCTTATTTTTGCTTTAGCAAAAGTTTGCAACGGGCCCTTTGCAAATTGCTACGTTCTCCATCCACTATTTAATCAGTGTCAAGTATTCAAAAGTGCATCTTATTGAGAAGTTAATCTTTAAATCTTTTTCTTCCCATGAAGAGTTTTTTCCCCAAAAATTATGTCACTTCTATTATTGTGTTAAAATTATTCATACCAACTGGTCATTTTATGATTTAATTTTTTTTTTTTTTTTCATGTATAAAAGGGAAGACCCTAACTTAATAAATTTTAATCTCTAAATGATTTCAGGCCAGTGATTCTGTAGAAAATCGATTAAACAAAGACTTCACAAACCCCTTGGAGCTGCACCAAATTATTATATCTTCCTTAGCCGAAATCTGTGCTGCAGCTATGCTGATTTTCCACCGAGCAGCAGAAATGTTGGTTATCAAGCAAAAACACAGCACTGTCTCTGAGACAGAGTCATTCATGAGGTTTGTTGTTTTTGCTTGTTCTCTGCTACTATGTTCAGGTTTTTTAAGAGTGTAAGAATCACTGAGAATTTTACTCTGTCAGAATTTTTCCTCTTATCACGATCTCTGGAAGATTATGTTTTTGTAACTCTTTCAAAGAGATGATCATTTTTGTTTTTTACTTCCCAAAATATTCCTCAATTTACACGTGTCCTTATATTTTACAAGATTGGGTGTGCTTAAACTGCATCTTGAAAATTCAATAAAGTGGCATTTAATGGGCCAAGAAATCTTGTCTTATTTCTGCCGAACAGTTTCTTCAACAAGCATATAATCTGAAGATAGCAAGACCGGACATTTTTTACCCACTTTAATTTTTGGAGATGGCTCTTACTATGTGTGACCATAAACTAGAGTGTTCATGTCTCACTGTCCGCCGAGCAGTGTTGGCATGGTGAGAAAATAGCCAAGCAGTGAACGCCCATCAACAACAGTATAGTTCAATTTGATGAAACTGTCGCCATGAATGACAGAAATATGTAGACAAGAACATAAATCCTTTTTTTGCAATATTTTACGATTTTTAGGTGTTGAACTAGCCAAGTCTTTAACTTATCTCACTTTGTTCTCTATCTTGTTTCAGTTTTGGAAAATGCATTTGTTCCAAACTTGAGATCACAGCTGAACAATTTTCGCTGAAGCTACGTCAAATTGACCCCTCTGACACAGCAAAAACATCTCACATATCAAAAGAGGTGAGCAATCTATCCCTCCATAGAATTACTCCAAAAAAATTATTTTATCTCGTATAAGATGCAATACAGGTGTAGAGATTGATTTTTTACTGCCTTGAGCTCTTTTATTCACCCCTTTTTTTATTTATCTTTCGAAACTCCCACTCATTTGCCGTACATTTTCTGAATTCCTGCTTATTCAACAGTACATTTTGTGGATTCCTCATCTATTAACATTGGATTTTTTGGTGAAGTTTTGAAGCAGTTTTTCTCTTTTATTGATGCCTCTTAAAATCATCATCAATCATGAAGGCCAAACAAAATTAATTGTACCTTTGAAATTATGTATTTTGTGGAAAAGACCTTCAACTTGAAAAAAAATTTATGTATTTTCAATTTATGAATTGTATAAAATAGTAGTATAAAAATAATAATAAATTCATGTAAAAGAAATAAGTTCATAATGGATGGGTTTTATCTAGAGCAAATGAAGATTCACTGATGCGACTGCACGCAGAAATAAATGATTTTAACTACATGCATTTAAAAATTTGCCTCACTCCTTTAAATTTATCAAGGCCTGGATATTTAATTATTTGCGGGCCCTTAAAAGGTTTTACAATGTTTTTGTTCAATTTTCAGAACCTAGTGTTACTGAAACATTAATGATTTTCGTCTCTTTCCTCCGCAGACTTCCAATAGTGTCACCTACACCAAAACGGCATGCCAGTTACTAGTTCCTATACTTCAATATGGAGCTGTTGTCTAGTCAAGGATTTCCTGAACGCTTGCTGCCAGTCATTTAAGTAGCTGTGATCTTGCTCTTCTGGAGTATCGCAGGACTATTACATGTAAAAAAGTTGCCTTTACATCGCCGTATGGCGAATTACTAAGTGATTCTGTAATTTTGCAGCAATAATGTATGTGCTAGATCATACACTTTCAGTTTATCATCAGATGACTCCTATATTTTTACTCCTCCCATTGATTGAAGAATTATCTCTCAATCTTTTGCATTCCAAATAGTATACAGTTAAGAATTTGCATTTCAGGGACCTATCAGGCCTTTTCTATTTATCGACGGTGTTAGTCGGCAATCACATAACTCGGTTTGCGACGTCGCAGACTTCTTGTTATACTTGATTTTTTTAACGGAAAACTACTCAAAGGTAATTCTTTAAAACTGCCATGATTTTTCTTCTCTGTGAGAGGAAAATTCTGCAAAAACTTCAAGGAATGATGTCAATTTGTTCTCCTTTAAAAAAATAACATAGAGGCGGAGATTTTCAAACACGGCCAACGAGTTATGTGATTGCCGACTTACACCGTCGTTATTCTTTGGAGCTTTAGCTCTCGTCTCTTCGGCATTGGGAAGTTAATTTTTTTATAAAAAAAAGAGAATATCTTCCAAAATAGGTCAGTGACACCTATTTTTAAACTCTTTTTTTGAAAGTACAGAAACAATTGGGCGGATTTGTCAAATTTTCAATGGCCAAAAAACCCTCGTTTTGAAAATGCCAAAAATGAGACGAATAACGACAAAGATTGAAACAATATTCAAGGCAGGCTTTGATAACACAGCCAAGCGTGAGACACCCTGTATAGATAATGAGTCCGAAGTACCCACTCAAGTGCGGCGGAAAAAACATTCTAGATTTAACTCCTTCTAGCGTAAAAAAGGTTTTTTGAAGTTACTGTAAAACGAAATAATACGGTTTTGACAGGAAAAGGTTCTCATGGGTTTCCAATTAGCAGTTCATTCGGTTCTTTGGCAAAATACCATCAGGGCTTGATAGTTTAACGATTCAACGACAAAAAAACGGGTCCGAGGAAAAAAATATTTGGACGGCCCGTTGACTAGCATTGCTTGATCGGTGTGCTGTATTCCCCCATCTTTGACAAATTACAATAATAAGAAAACTATGCCCTCTGGTCGCTACGCGGCTCAACCAACTCCCATGATACCGCTTTGCCCTCTCCAGGTTATGAAACATTTGAATTTCACCAATTTTTCATTGTTGAGAATTTCAAATTTTGCGTATCACCCCTTATTTTCCTCAACTCCACTATCTCAAAAAGTCTCAAATTGTTTAAAGGAAACAGTACAAAAAGTGAGAGACCTATTGAATGGTCATTTAACGCCAGGGACAGTAAGACACGTGTGTATGATGTGACAGCCATCATAGCCTTCTCGTCCTTGCCTAGCATTGTTGCAATTTTAACAATGTGTAATTAAAACCGTAACTTTTCCGTGGTCCACGAGAAAGACCCATCAATGAAAGTGAGTAAATAACAAAAATTACCTACCGAGACTTTATGCTAAACGTCAAGCAAATGGAGAAGATGTTCCCGTATCTCTCCCCCCCCCCCCCCCCNCCAAGGATGCATTTGCCACTTACAATCCAATCCTTGTCTACTTTCATCATGTTAGTGACATTTTAGTCTTGTACAGGTTCAAAAATATCCTAACAGCGAAGTGTTTTTCCTCAGGGGATCGTTTTAATATTTTCTTTGGGAGCCATCATGAATTCAACCTATCGGATCTGCTGCTTATGGAACGTTAATTCCTGATTCCCCGTAAGAACCAAGAAAGAAATATTTCATTTCATGAACAACGTAACATGTTACTTCATCACTTTTGGTCATTCAGGGTATCTAAGTTCAAGCATTAATTCGCCAAATGGTCCTTTTTTAACAGTTCCCTAATGATAGTATATAATAACAATAGTTTTTTTTTTATTTATTTATTTTTGTAATCAGATTAGCAATATACAAAGTATGACTATAGACCTGCAGGGTCTTTTAAATCTTAAATTAAACTTACATACTAGTTATAAATAAACTTCTGCTTTTACATAATTAAAATAAATAACAACAAAGTTATTAGAACAGGGAAGACAGAATTAAATGAATAAGAAGTCAAAAAGAATTAGGAGCATTAAGGCAAAGAGAACTATGGAATGTGTTTAGTGGTAAACAGGCCAAGTAACCCAAAGTGAAGACTGTAAGAAAATTTCGGAAATTTTGGAAATTACGAAGTAATGATAACAATAGTGAAATTACGAACCTTACTTTCTTCACTTACTTTCTTCATTTTCTTCATCGTCGTTTTCTAGAATTGGATTTTCAGCCTGGTCGCCCTCTATAGTTGGTGGATTTTTTCGCTCGTCGTCTTTTTCGTTTTCTTTTACTTCCCCAGTTAGAGCATTTTCTGGCAAGTCGTTTGGATCCTTCTGCCTTCGGCAATGGGCGCCTGATCCCCGATGCCGCCGGGATCTCGATCGTGACTCGACGCGGTAGCCGTGTTGATCCCGAGTTGCCTGATTGTCTTCTCTTGAATCCTGCTGCTCGTCGTTTTCTGCATTGTTGTCTTCGTCGTGTTCTGGATGTGGATCCGACCTTTGATTGCCTCCTCTTGAATCCGTTGCCCTTGGCGACGGGCGCCTGATCCCCGATGCGGGGATCTCGGTCATGACTCGCGGTAGCCATGACCCGACCTTTAATTGCCTCCTCTTCAATCCGTCTGCCCTTGGCGATGGGCGCCTGATCCCCGATGCGGGGATCTCGATCGTGACTCGCGGTAGCCATGACCCGACCTTTGATCGCCTCCTCTTGAATCCGTCTGCCTTTGGCGATGGGCGCCTGATCCCCGCATCGGGGATCCCGATCGTGACTCGCGCCGGTAGCCATGACCCGACCTTTGACTGCCTCCTCTTGAATCCGTCTGCCTTTGGCGATGGGCGCCTGATCCCCGCATCGGGGATCTCGATCGTGACTCGACGCGATAGCCGTGTTGATCCCGAGTTGCTTTATTGTCTTCTCTTGAATCCTGCTGCTCGTCGTTTTCTGCATTGTTGTCTTCGTCGTGTTCTGGATGTGGATCCGACCTTTGATTACCTCCTCTTGAATCCGTCTGCCCTTGGCGACGGGCGCCTGATCCCCGATGCGGGGATCTCGATCATGACTCGCGGTAGCCATGACCCGACCTTTAATTGCCTCCTCTTGAATCCGTCTGCCCTTGGCGATGGGCGCCTGATCCCCGATGCGGGGATCTCGATCGTGACTCGCGGTAGCCATGACCCGACCTTTGATCGCCTCCTCTTGAATCCGTCTGCCTTTGGCGATGGGCGCCTGATCCCCGCATCGGGGATCTCGATCGTGACTCGCGCCGGTAGCCGTGACCCGACCTTTGACTGCCTCCTCTTGAATCCGTCTGCCTTTGGCGATGGGCGCCTGATCCCCGCATCGGGGATCTTGATCGTGACTCGCGCCGGTAGCCGTGACCTGACCTTTGACTGCCTCCTCTTGAATCCGTCTGCCTTTGGCGATGGGCGCCTGATCCTCGCATCGGGGATCTTGATCGTGACTCGCGCCGGTAGCCGTGACCCGACCATTGACTGCCTCCTCTTGAATCCGTCTGCTTTGGCGATGGGCGCCTGATCCCCGCATCGGGGATCTTCATCGTGACTCGCGCCGGTAGCCATGACCCGACCTTTCATTGCCTCCTCTTGAATCCGTCTGCCTTTGGCGATAAGCGCCTGATCCCCGCATCGGGGATCTCGATCGTGACTCGACGCGATAGCCGTGTTGATCCCGAGTTGCTTTATTGTCTTCTCTTGAATCCTGCTGCTCGTCGTTTTCTGCATTGTTGTCTTCGTCGTGTTCTGGATGAGGACCCGACAATTGATTGCCTCCTCTTGAATCCGTCTGCTTTGGCGATGGGCGCCTGATCCCCGCATCGGGGATCTTCATCGTGACTCGCGCCGGTAGCCATGACCCGACCTTTCATTGCCTCCTCTTGAATCCGTCTGCCTTTGGCGATGGGCGCCTGCTCCCCGCATCGGGGATCTCGATCGTGACTCGCGCCGGTAGCCGATACCCGACCTTTGACTGCCTCCTCTTGAATCCGCGTGCTTTAGCGATGGGCGCCTGATCCCCGCATCGGGGATCTCGATCGTGACTCGCGCCGGTAGCCGTGACCCGACCTTTGACTGCCTCCTCTTGAATCCGTCTGCCTTTGGCGATGGGCGCCTGATCCCCGCATAGGGGATCTTGATCGTGACTCGCGCCGGTAGCCGTGGCCCCACCTTTGATTGTCTCCTCTTGAATCCGTCTGCCTTTGGCGATGGGCGCCTGATCCCCGAATGGGGGATCTTGATCGTGACTCGCGCCGGTAGCCATGACCCGACCTTTGACTGCCTCCTCTTGAATCCGTCTGCCTTTGGCGATGGGCGCCTGATCCCCGCATCGGGGATCTTGATCGTGACTCGCGCCGGTAGCCGTGGCCCGACTTTTGACTGCCTCCTCTTGAATCCGTCTGCCTTTGGCGATGGTCGCCTGATCCCCGCATCGGGGATCTCGATCGTGACTCGCGCCGGTAGCCGTGACCCGACCTTTGATTGTCTCCTCTTGCATCCGTCTGCCTTTGGCGATGGGCGCCTGATCCCCTCATCGGGGATCTTGATCGTGACTCGCGCCGGTAGCCGGGGCCCGACCTTTGACTTCTGACAACGGAGCAAAACTAGAACATCGCTTCGACATTTTTCGCCTGCTTTCTGTTTCTATCATAGTTTACCGAAACACATGAGTCATACTTGCAAAATTTTAGATCAATGCTAATCTTTTTTTTTTTTTTTTTTTTTTTTTTTTTTTTAAAAAAATAAATTTCAAAACATTAAATTTTAAATAAAGAAACCGATGGTTACATACCTTAGTTCTCGTGAAATTGAGATTGGATTCTTCCAATCCGTCACTTTTAACAAGCAGAAATGAAGCGAGCAACTATTTGAACTCCGGAGTGGGTATGTGGTATCATACAAAATTGAAGGAAAATCATATTTTTTCGCCCATCCCTAGTAACAGATGTTTATGAGTTTTATGCGCACATTGCGTAGTCTTACTTGAGTCAGAAATTCGCGTGTAAGGCACGATATCGATGTGAATAACGTGCAATTATAATTATCTTAGAAATTCGCTAGGAACACAGGAAACAGCATTTATTGTTTGGCTAAACTTAGCCTCAGGCTTCGCCTTGCAATTCAATTCGACTGTCGGCTTTTGATTGGTTGGATTTTGATAAGTTTTTCTCCCCTTGGAAGTGCTTTTTTGAACTTTATGATGAACCTTCTGATTTTTTGTAAAAATTTTACATAGGATAAAATGTACCACAACCCTGTAAAAATTTCTTCCCACTGCCCCATAATGCTGTATACATTTTTTACATTAAATTCGAAATATGTTCACACTCTTGAATCCTAATGATTTAAAGGCTTTTTCAAAGTAAATCTGTTATCATCGCAAATAGCATATTGGAGTAATAATGAGAGAAACATACAACTTTGATGCAGAGGTGCAAACTGCCCATCACACTTAACTTTTTTAAAGAATGCAGTGCCTAAAAATTCCCTTTCTGAGAGTATTTGCTGAAAATTTTCTGCAAATACTTGTTGTACATGTTACTTTTCTCTTTGTTTCACCATTTATGGACTAACACAATAAATTAAGTTGGAAAAAAAAAGCAAATAGCTATCATAATCATGTGTAATTTATCATCTGCTCTTGGTAAACGTTTACTTTGTGTGAGGAAAAAATATCTACAGAAAGCAATATGAAGTAGCCACTCTGGTATCAAGTGATTAATCAGTTTACTGTTAAAGGAAGACTTAAAATGGAAACATTGGTCTTAGTGCTAATCAGCATTAAGAACATTTTGTTTTTAGATGTTGACATTGGTTTTCCGGCTGTAACCTGTCAACTCATTCATAGAACATTGTCTTTGTTGATTTTGAACCCATGTCTCTATTTTTTTTAGATATTATTTTTATCATAATGATTAGATATTAAATCAAAACCAAATTTTGTGACTTGTACAATTGATCCATTTTCTATGGTCCGTGATGATCTAATGATTTTCCTAACTATTTATTTACCTATTTATTCATCTATTTATTTATTTATGTTTTTTTTAAAATTACATATTATTTTCAAAGCCTAATTAATTTATGAAATTTTCGTTTGATGTGGATAAAGTCTATTTTGATATGTTAATTATATTGGTTGTTTTATTTGAGTTTTAAACAGTGCCTTGTTATCATTCCCAAGAGGAGTTCCCTTTGAGTCTTGAATACACATTTTACTCCCAGTGACAGCAAACTTTTTTCAAACCATGATTGATAAATTTTAATACGTGTTTATATTTCTATCATCTCAGATATTATTTGAAAATTGAATGCGTAAATTTCTTGCAAACATGAAGGTTAATTGGGAGCACTTACATTGATGTCTATGCACAATGAGAGTATTGAAGAGAGGCAGAGGGGTGACACTTAATGACTAGTAAATTATCTTCAATGTGGTCTGGAATTAAAGATTGAAGGCATGTAAATCTTCTGGAAATAGACCTCTTTAGCGTAATGCAATTTTTGCAATTTAAATTATTTGAAACAAATCTATCTGCGTGAAATTTTTAGGAAAACCCCTTCATCTGCTCAGGGATAAGTCATGTCTGTTCACAGCTTAGCAGTCTTTTTATTGTGGCAAAACTTGACCATTACATTCAGCCCAAAACAACATCTAAACTCTTACCTTAGAATATAATTTATTCTTGTAATATGTCTTTTTTTAAGCTACTTTTCTTAGAGCTCACAATGAAGATCAACTTTTTTGCAAAAAACACTTCCGGTTGAGGAAGTAAAATTCCATTTTGCGCTTATAACTTTATGAACTTCTGACAATTCATACACTTTTGATAGCTAAAAGCAAAATTTACATTTCTCAATTCATTTAGGGACTAAAATTCTCGATTCAGCTTGAAGGATATAGAAAATTAAAGACACATGGTGGTAGAATTGACAATCGTTTTATTAATGAAAAAATAAAACATTACATTAAAAATAGAATGTGGCAAATAGAATTAATTTCTTATCTCTTTAATTTGATTTTCTGTATAATTTAGCAAATGATTGGATTGAAAGAGAATGTCACGTATCTTGACATTCATACATTGTAATAAAATAAAATTCTAGTATAATTTAAATGTCTACGCCATAGTCAAGTTTTACTGGATTCCTTATTCAAAACTTAAAAATCGATCATATGATTAAAACCTTAAAAATAACTAAAATCAAGATACAATATATTAAAAATATATCACAGAAGATTGTAAAGTGACGGTTGAGAACAATGGAACAACTAGACACCGAACTCTGAAAAACAAAGACAAAAAAGAGTTACAGTCAGACTCATGAAAAATATTTTATTGTGAAAAGGCAGTCATAATAACGATCTGTCCACTACAGAGCATGAATACCACATTTCGAAATTTGGTATTTCTTTTTTCAAAGGAAATTAACGAGTATAGCTGATAGAAAGGATGCCCTATTGATTTTCAGTAACTTCCCTAAATAACTCCTTTTAAATACTGTCGATACAAAATAAAGACAGTGGGAGAATTTTTACCGACAAATATTGTAATTATTAGATCCGAGAAAACTGAGGTGTGGAAGTATGAGGGGGGGAGACTCAGAACAATACGGACGACCTTTGCACTGGCCGTCTGTTTCAGAGTATTGACTCCTCCTTTTTAGGGAGTCTTATTATGCGCTGAGATTTGGCATAAAGCATCATTGAAAGCTACTCGAAACTTTCTCAAGAGGAGATGTCACTACTCAGAAACAGGTAGTCAGGGCAAAGGTCGTCTAGTTTGTTGTGGGTCTCTACTCATGTGCAATTCAGAAAATTGACTATTAAGGAGACAACAATAATTAGTTGATTGGGGGCTCCACAATTTTTTAGAAAGTAGACCGAGTCCAGCAGAATCGCTGGGCCGGAATTTATTCATCTCGACAAAAGCAAACTTACTTTTCTATAATTATGTTGGCAGGTTACTAATTAGATACCCAGCCAAAAATTATTTAATTTCTTTTGATCTGTTCTTAGGACTCCATCAAAATATCACACCATTACATATAACTGAGATATTCTAATCCACCCAATTCATTGAAGACTTAAAAGAAGTCTAAAAACTGCATTAAAATAATATCCTGAGAGCCACATGCAACTTTTGTTGCTTAAGTTATGAGGACAAGTTTTATGGAACACAGGCCTCCTTATCTATTCTAAAGGGAAAAAGTGTGAGTAATCTATTTTACTGCCTGACATAAGATTCTGCATTCCTTCAACGTAAAAAAGGCAATTGAATCCGACTTTAGAACGCTCTACGTCTTGTTGTCCAATCTCTTTAAGGTATCCCACACAAGTTACATGTTCTATGAGACTCGTCCTTAGTAAAGAGTAGTGGAGAAAACTTTTACGCACTTTCTTAATCATGCCATGCTTCTATCAGGACGTGCTTGGAGAAGCAATTTCAAAGAGTCTGTCGCAAACTTACGCTGGAGCAAAAAGAAGAAATGGCTCTTAAAGAAAATGGCTTGAAAATTTTGATTAAGACATTTTTTGAGTCTGAAATGCATTCTTTACCTTGCAATCTGATTGAGAGATTCGCCAATTCAGGAGTTTCCTGCTTTAAAAAGAATACTACAGCAGAGACACAATTTGATACAGAAAAATTAACCCAGTTTCACGACTCCATTTTCAAAATGCAAAATGGTTGCTGTTATGTGTCGCAATTATTCAATCAGAAAAAGACAACATAGCAGACACCATTCATCATCCAACAACTTCATTTTTCTCCTTTCCAAGTTGTGAATAATTAGTAGGTAGAAGTACTTTCATGGTTTGGTTTATTTGAGGAACTGTATTATAGGACAGCGACCATTTCTAGTTTCAGGCCCGACCATTTGTATCAAATTGCATGTTTTCCATACTCTTCTTTTTGAGAAGGAAAGCTAAAAAAAGCGCAAACTTTATTTACAGATTCAAGAGTTGAAAGTGAATTTAATTCAGGACTGGATTAATATTCCATGAGAAACAACTGTTCTTCTTCCTCAGGCTGAAGTTTGAAACAGACCCATCGCCTGGACGAAGCTGATGAATGATATAGCAAAAGCAAACATTACCCAACTTTAAAGTGGATACTATCATTTGAATTAAGTATGAGGTGTCAACTCACCTGTCTATCGTTTTCCTCTTTTGTTACTTAGAGGTGGTTTTTGAAGCTGGAAAGTAGGGGTGTTAGCGGCAAATACACCACCGGCAGGCAGAGTTGAAGTAGACTGGTTAATCATGGAGGTATTAGAGATTAGCGAAGGTAGGTTAAGACCCGAGGGGTTATTCCATGCTGCGAAAATGTTTGGAATTTGCATTAATCAAATGAAAATACACCTCTGAGATATGAGAAAAGAGGTTGCGAACTTTTCAGCTGTTGCGAAATGAGCTCAACAGCTAGAAAGCTGGGGAAAGTTTTTGTGTTCTAATCTTTAGATCTCAATAATAAGTTATAACATTCATCTGACACCATGACTGACTCTTCATTGGTTTTTAGGTCCCACTAAGGAGCCAAAAGTTTGCTATCAGTCTAACTTAGTGGGGGAATCAATACTTAAAGGGATCACAAAATCTGACGAATAGCTATGTTCATTCGAGCACTTTCAATGCGCAATTCTTAAAAACATGAGCTGTAGAATACGGAATCAACACGCATGGAAAAAAAAAGACACATGCAAACTCTGGATTCTCTTCAATTCTGGATGAGAATGAACAAGCGCACGTTCATGCCATACCTAATTGGATGCAAAGCTTTTGTTTTGGATGCAAAGATAACAGCTGTTTGGAGGAGGTGAATTTACTTCAATTCACATTTGAATTGGGATTCAGCATTTACACGTCTTTTTTTTTTTTACAAATCTAACAATACAATGCATTTTTTGATCAGGATTGTATCTAATCCATTGTGAGTTGAATGCCCATGTTGCAACAACATTCATAAAAAGGTTTTCAATGTACATCTCAAGGTTTAGATTTGCAAAAAAATAATTTAAACCAATCTTGAAAGGCTTGAGTGATCATAGCTAGCCAGTAACATAACTAAGCTTTGCCTAACTATGTCCAATCGACAAATGAAAAAATTCAAAAATCGTCTTGTTGACCGATCTTGAAAACTTTGCTTGTATGTACATCTTGCACATAGCAAGTCTGCCGTGTAAAATATGGCGGAGAAGGGATTTTTCAGGAGAATATTATTTTGAGTACTTCACTCAACGACCTATAAGAATACGCTGAGACAACTCTCTGCCATTTAAAAAATAAAAAATAAAAAAAAAACCATGTACATGATATTGAACATCTTCTATTGTTGAGTGAGTGAAATATGAGGGAGAACCTCTTATCATTTCGACAAAAGTTATGGACTAGAAAATGTTTGAAACTGAAAAATACAAGAAAGCTGCATCAAAAGCAGTAAAAATAGTATTTATGCACATTTCAAAGCTATGAAGCAAAAATGAAGATACCAAAGTAAGAAAAAAATGCAAATTTCAGATGGCCAAGGAAAAACGAGGTTATAATTGGTCTGCATCAAGCAGAGAGGAACTAAGTCACATCAGTTATTGCAAAATTTCATCGAACACTTTACTTTTTTACAAGAGAACTGTAGTGCAGATTCTTTTAAAAATTGCGGAGAATTTGCTTTATGTGGGGGAAATGTTTTGAAATTTACAAGAGAATGTACCCAACCATAACTTCAACAACTTAGAGCGGTAAGTTTCTAAATACATACATAATAGGTAGCAGAGATATGGCTCTTCGATGACATCATTCTCTGCGCTTATTCATATCTTAGTATTATCCACCTTCATCTCACCAACGATGATGAGACTCAAATAAAAGAAACAATAATGTACACTATTGAGTACATGAAGTTATTCTCAATTTTTTTCGAGGGATAATATGTTCATTTTTATTTACTAACAGTTATTATTCATTCAGCATTAGAACCAATGTATTTATTTTTACTAATATGCTGCGTTCAACATCAAAAAGCAATTCTGCGACATGCTCAACTAACGTTATGAAATTCCATGGGATGTATCTTATTGGCTAAAAAATTTGAGCGGCTGAGTCTAGCTAAAAGGTATGACTGGCGTCAAGATAGGGTATGAATTTATGTACGATACAACATGTTTTCTCTTCAAAATTTCAAGAGAAAAACGAATCACACAACAAGAAATCTGGAAATCAACGCTTTGATAAAATATAAGTGTTAACATTTTGCACTAGTTAGAAATCAAAAATAAAAAAGATGCGATTTGATTAACCTATCTTCTATTTGGTTTGCATTCAAACTATTCATTGATATCTCCTATAAAAGCTGATTTCCAAACTTCATTTTGAGTAAATCGTTTTTTTTTTTAGATTTTGAAGCAAAAACATAGGAGTTTTTTCTAGTTCAGACCGTATCTGGTGTCCTATTCTCACAGCGCTCTCCTTTGACTTAAAATGACTGACAGCAGCCTGATTGTTGAATGTGTTGTGTTTGTCGACCGGAGAGGACATGAGTAAGGAGAATTGTGTTACATGATGGGTAAGCTTCATCTTTTGTCCTCTTTGTTGTGCTGGTTAAGGATATAATTAACAAGAAGCTAATGGAACCTCTTGAGTTTTCGATACTATATCGTCAAATTTTGGTCTAACCCATCCTTCATCGGCACAACAATTAAGACAAAAGATGAAGATAACCAATTACATGGCTCCATTCTTCTTAATCTTGTCTCATCCGGTCAACAAATAAAAAATTTCAACGATCAGGCTGCTGATAATATTCCTCTTTACCTCGTCTACTCAAAGTTACATGACAAGGAAAATATTAGAGTAGAAAAAAATGTAAGACTCACTTGATAGTGAAGGCTGAGGTTGTAAAGGAGTATAAGCGGACTTGGTCATCCCCAATGAGGACAAAGTCACAAGATTGTTGAGATTGCCATCAGCTGGACAAAAAAATAATCCAATCAAAATTGATATAAACAATTTATGTATTTCGTATATTTGGTTTACATAATTCAACAAGCTTATTATAACCAATAACAGACACTTTTTAGACAGGGATTATGAAGAGTATTGAATTCTGACAGTATGAAATCCCAGTTCTGTCATCTCTGGTGAAATTTGCTTAATACATAACTGGAGGTGGTGCATTTATCCTCTCAATAAAAAGATGTGTTCTATCACCAGTTGTCAGTCGTATTCAACCTTCGGTTTAATTTGCACTATTGCTTTGAAAAATATTGTTTCAAGTTGCCATCAGCTATGCTGCTGTCCAAAACAAAAACGAGTAACTCCTTTGCAGATTTTGCAAGTTTCTTCCACACAAAATTTTGTGTTTCAAAAATGTCTGGTCACTGTCACGCATCGTTTTTTCTGTTTAAATTCTACATTGAATATCACAGTCATTTAGTGAATAAGAAGGCTGGGTGCTTTTTGGTTTTCTCAAAAGAGGAAATTTCGTGAGATAAAAAATGGAAAATGCTGGAATAAAGTCACGACGTTCTTGCTTTTGACGGCAGTATGAGCACACTCCTTCTAAAACTCAGAGAAGCATCAGAAGAAGAGTCAGGTGCTAAACAGCTCTGACAAAAGACGCAATGAGAAGTTACAGAATTATCATTAAACCTTTGACTTTCGGTTAAAACTTCTGCAAAGTGCTAAAAGGACCGTCCGGTTTTTTATTTTTTTCCCTTCGAATTTAACTTAATTTAAATAGTATTTTAAGATGACAAGAGAAGATAGAACACAACTTCTGTTTAGCACCTGTTGACAAACGTTGCCAACAGTTTAACCAGAAATGATAGAACCAGATCTGAGTATTGAGTTGATGCTATTTCTAATCTTTTAGACATTTCAAGTAAAGGGCTACAAGTTTCAGTTTTTCTCATGAATAGAAAATGAAGGTTGAGTGTTATGTTTGTGATTATGAATACCTCTCACGGTAAAAAATAAAAGAACTGTAAGTCAACATTGCTTAAAATGGGGAACTTATTAACTATGTACTTAACTTGAAGGGAAATGATATAGAGGTAATGATGAAGGGAAATAACTTAACAGTAAAACTGCAAAAACGCGAATCTCAGTTTGCAATGCTGTAGATTTTCTCAATTTTTAAATGAGAAATTACGTAACGTCATTTCTTAAAAACTTTCCTAATTTTTCTCTTCTGTGTAAAAAAGAGTCAGTGAAAATTTTAGACAATAGTGTTAATTCATTTTTTTCATAGCATGAAAGAGCAGATATTTTGGAACACTTTAAAAAAGATACGCGTCTTTGCAGTTCCACCACGGATACACTTCCTTTTATGAATTTGTCTCAAATTCTTTATGTAATGTTCTAGGTATTTTGGGAAATAGATACACATGGTAGGTATGGTTGCCTGTAAGGAAAAGAGATAGTTGCATAAATGTGGCAAAGTTGATATAATTAAGTGCACTCAGGTCAAAAAGTCTTCATACTGTTTCCTGATCACTGAATTTTACTTTGGACAACAAAATGGCATTTTTAGAGATGCCTACATCTCAATTTGAACGATTACAAAATTAAATCACCAACAACTAAGAACATAACAACAGACGATTCATGAGAAACACCTTCCCATGTTCGAAATTATTTTCAATTTATTTACTAACCTGAAAAAGGTGTCGGTCCAGGAGAGAAAGTTACAATATTATTGACAGGGTTAGTATTTTTCTTGACTAATCCTGGTTTTTTTTCGAAGATGTTGGTGGTATCTTTTAAATACTGTCTCCTAAGTGACAAGTGTTGATTTTTCAGGGTTTGAACGGAAGAGTGAACACCTTGAAGTCTTCCAGCGAGAGCTACAAAACTATCGTGCAACTTCCTGAGAGCAAGAGAGAGCTCTGCAAAAAAAATAAGAGATACATGATTAAACATTTCTGAAGGTTTCTGGTTTTAGAAGCCTTATGTTATCCTTCGTGGGGAAGGAGGGGGCGAGAGGTAGTTTTGGAACACAATTTATTTTCATATTTTTATAAGAAGGTTTATTCATACGTTAACAGACGATTCCAAATTTTGTGGTAACTTAACACCTGACGATGAGCGGTTGCTTGAAACGGCCGTAGTGTAAAAAGTATCAACAATTTTAGAACAATCGGTGAGATGAAGTTTCCACAAAATTTGATGAAGAATGGCCGATAAAGTTAACAAAAGAAGTGAACCGATAATTTGCTAGGTTTTCCATGGTTTAATAGCCAGAGACTCTATGAATTTGTAAATAAAGACGAACAAATAACACTTCCTGGGAAAAATCATTACTACACAGAATCATAGGTAAAATATTAGTTACATGTAGCAACTTTTCAACACTTCCTTTGAGTTAAACTATTGGAGGATGATTCTTCAAGATGGTTCTAGAGTGTGTCTATGGTGATTCCTGTGTTACACATACTTTTTCACACTTGAACTAACTGCCTGCCTTTTTAATTCAGATAGGGTAGCTTTCAAGTACTAGGAAAATATGATATTTTACTCATTCAATCTTGTGATGTACTTGTAGTGCAGTCCTACTGACCTTTCACAAATTGTGTGACGATGGACTGTGCCGCTTCTTGATTTTCGTAGGTATTTGCAGCATAAAATTTTGCTAGAGATCTTCTTGTTCTCAAAAAATTATGGAATTGAATAAATTTAAACTATTACATAATGTTGGGCTTCAACCCATCTCCTTTCCTCGTAGTGCGTTGAAGTTGGGACCCAAACTAAACTCCTTTTCCCCCACACTTATTGTAAATCATAATAGTTAATCGTTTCTGAGATTTGCTTAATTCAGTGTTTTCAAACTTTACTATCCTCAACTGGCATTCTAATGCAGAATAAAGATAAAGAGAGACATGGCTAAACACGTTTTGAAACATAATTTGATAATTAAGAGTCTCTGATAAAAATATGGTCATGAATGCTGTGCCTTACCTTGCGGATTGAGTTCAGAGGAGGATGTTAAACTCTTCACATGTCTTTCAGCGTTTTCAATCTCTAGCCTCAGAACATTCAAGTCGTGATCGAATTGTGATACTAGATTATTGAAAAAGTCTAATGGTGCTAAATTTTGATTCTGTAGTCCGCTAGGTGTGTCTTGTGTTCTCTGCGCCATTTCACAATTTTGGAAACACTAAAACACGAAACAATTGGTTAACAAGATTCAATATAAACTTGACAACTGAGGAGGGCATGTTCACTGCATTAACTGGTGGAAAAAATAAACTGCCTATTGTTAGAGTTTAATTTCATCTTGGATGAAATAACTTGCCATGCAATGAGAGCCTCCTTCAAAACTAAAAATAGAGACTTCCAAAGATTTTAGCGCGGCATAGCAATAGACTTCCAAAAGGGTTTTAGAGGACTTAGGTACACATTTTTAGTAAACTCTGATAAATGTTTAAAACACAAAAATGTTTCTTTTATTACATCCATTCTCTGCATTTTGAGTTAGGAAGATAATATTGGGACTATGTTTTCCGAAAAACATCACAAGACTACCTTACCTTCATTGTTTCTGCCTTGATTTTATCTGCCATGGACTTGTTTTTCTGCAAACTAGTGGCTAGAGTCGTTACCAAAGTTCTCATCGAGTCTACATTTTCGGATATTTTATCCATTGGCTTGACAGAGGCACGTGCAACTTCACTGCTGATACTTTTCTGAGTTTTTACAAAAGACCTGAAAAAAAGCAAGGCATTTTGATAAGTGATCCAACATCTCAGACATAAAAATAAGGTATTTGTTACAGTGTCCAGCAACAACTATTACACAATAATTGACAAATTGTACTACAGCCAAAAGACAATTTTATGCCAAGTAGCCCAATTACATATTATTATTATGGCTGCTAAAATCGTAACATATTTCCAATTTGTAAACATTTTAAGTTAAAGGCAAACTATTAATTTCATTACTACTGAATGAATAAAATTGAAATTTTAGGAGGAAAATTCATTGGGATTTATTAATTAATAATTAAGCAATTTTGAATTCATCTTTTGTGCTCAATAGTGTGCAAATAAGTTCTGGACAATTACCATGATTTAAGTGTACTCTTTACTTTTCAAAAATGCAATAAATAATAAAAAGTTACTTCAGAGACTCATTGAGAAAATGAAATAAATCAAAAGAAAAAAACACACTTGAATTGCTCCACAGTCTGCATGAGTTCATTAGGTATAGGATTATCTTTCAGTGCAACTTTGTCCGTGGGTCCAGCGGACGTGGAGGTGCCTGATGTGATTTGCCCAGGATCAACTCCGCCAAGACCTTTGAATGTTGTTGTTGTAGTTGTGGTGGTTGCGGGTGTGGATCCTGTAGTCTTCCCAGCTGAAAAAAAAGAGATCTATACTGATGAGGTAAGTTTAGGTAAAGAATTGAGTACTACTTTTGTAATTTTATACTCTGCGGAATGTTCTCTTTTTTTGGTCATTTTTGAGAAGTGTGATCAAGTTCGAAAAAAAAAAAAAAAATAAAAATATGGAACCGGTCACAGGGAAAGGGACCTAAGTCCACAGAGGTAAAATTTTCAGTGGAGCAAATTTTATTAAGTTGGGTCGAAATATTTGGAGATTTTGGTGATGAGTTCTGAGAAGTGGGAGAGAAAAATAGGCCATTTACTTCATGTTTAGTTTAGTAGTAGGGTATTTAATTGCAGTAAAATCCAGCAATTTTCAGCCCTAAGTAAGGCAAATTATAATTTTTTATAGCTTTCCACTGAGACTACATTTTGAGAATTGCTACCTTCAAATCTCCTTGAGTCAGGTTAGATTTGACATTTTTTGTTGTCCCCCCTCCCCCACAAATGTTTGTAGAACGTTCCTTTGTGTTGAAGTGTCAATATTCGATTTGGTGTTAATGTCGGGTATGATTCCTGTTTCTCTAGACAACTGCATATTTAAAAGAATCCTCTGGTGAAAAGAATAGCCTGTTACGGTTGATATTATAAACTCAAAATTACATGAATCAATGTATCTAGATATTGCAACCAAAATAAAAAACACAATATTGAAAGAAAAAAACCAAGTTAGGGTTCCGAAACAAGGAATGAATGGTTAGCAATTTACTGTGAAAATTTAAATCTGACTTCTATTTACTTTAATCTACTTTCCTTCCGCCTTTCTCTTTGCGCTTCTCACATTTTATTAAACGAACATCTTGAATATGTTCACATTGCTCCCAGCTAAATACTAGTGTAAATTCGATATTTCTGACTCGGACTTTGTTATTCCACTTCCTTGAAAGAGTTGTAGGTAGAAGGACCCTTGTCCAGTCATCAATAACAAACTAATGACAATTATTAATATTACTGTCCACTATTTTATTGGGAAAAAAACATACCTTGGGTTGAGGCAGGAGTGGAGAAGCTGAAAGTTAGTCCTGTTGGAGCAGATGTTGCTGCAGTGGCTGTCGATGTTGCGCTCGGAAAACTGAGTCCTGGTAATTTGCCCAATGTTGGAGCAGCCGTAGTTGTTGAGGTAGGTGTGCCAAAGCTCAGAGTTGGTTTTGTTGCACCCAGTGTTGACCCAAGTCCAAAATTTAGACCTGTTGGAACATTATTTGATCAAAATATACTGTTATCAATTTTGGGATGTAGGTAGAGTTAAGATAGAAAATCTATTTTACAGAAATTTATAAATGTAATACAGATCGCTTTCTCTAGTGCTTAAGTGCTTCACAAAAAACCCAGAATCCAAAATAAACTTCTACTTGAGAGTTGAAATTGATTCCTTTTTTACTATATCAAGGTGTCTATATCAATCGTCAAGCAACTGCCAAGGCAGTCTAAAATTGCCATTTGCTCGTTTCTGATGACTAGGAAACTACCTCTAAATTTAGAAAATTTGAGAAAACTGCTCCAAACTACGCAAAGTGTACTTCAAAAAGTCGATTTCAGAATTTTTTAAAATATGACCATTAATGATTTTCATGTCATTTTACCCCAGTTTAAATTGTGCATGACTACAGTTACCCCTACCGGTGGATGCAGTAGTTGTTGCTTGGCCGAGCCCTGTGGTAGCCTGGGCTGATGTTGCTGGGGTACCAAAGGATAAACCTGTTGCTGGTGCACTTGTAGTGGCGCCAAACGAAAAGCCAGTCTGCGCTGGTTGGGTCGGTTGCGTGGTTGTTGCGCTTGGAGCACCGAAGCTGAGAGTTGGGGCCGATGTTGCTGCCGCAGTGGTTGTAGCACCGAAAGAAAAGCCTGTTGAAGCAGGGGCTCCAAGACCAAGGGTAGGAGCTTGCGTTGGCTGGGTGGACTGAGGAGGCTGCGTCTGTTGGGTTGGAGCACTAAAGTTGAAGCCAGTTTGTGCTGAAAAATAGGAGAATAATTACTTACTTAAAAACATAAAGCAGCCTAAAAGAGAGAGGATGAATAATCTTTTAGTTTGCAGGCTTGTGAGAAAAGGTCATAGTGCAAAAAGTTTGATGGAAAATTTCTACGAATGAATAGGAAAACTTCAATTTTTTTATGATTATGGCAGGGATGCGGTAAGTTCTTGGCTTTCATATTTTTCAAATTGTCCTTTCCATTATGCAACTCTTTCTTCCTCAGAAATTTCACGGTGATGACCTTATGATGGGAAAATATGTAAAAACTGCCGAATTTGAGCAAAAAACAAATTATTTTTACCATACTTTTGCAAAACCTTGCGAGTTTCACTTGCGACCAATCGCAATCCACCTAGTTGTGGGTAAGGGATTTTCTGCACCACTGAGTAATGATTCAGACTCCTGTCACATTTTTTTTTCTTTCCCCCTTCCTCTCAGGAATTCGTTGAAATTTTGACAAATAATTCAAGTAACTAATAATTTCTCTGCTGCTTGTCTTTTTCTCAACGATAATACTCTTCTTCTTTTTTACTTGATACAAATTTTATATTCCTTTGATTCCTGGTGATCCTGATTTTAAGTTGATTTGTTTATATTTTTTTTTTCAACTAAGTCTCATTGAAAATGGAAGCAGGATTAAACCAAAAGGTTTCTGTGCTTAGGTGCTATGATGCGCCAGTTTTATTTTTAAACATCTTCCATGTGCATACTTCGTGACATGAATTGCGCTAGTGGTAGAGCCTTTTTGCCAATCATGATCATGGTCTTATTGACTTAAAGTAAGTTCTCGCTAAAGGACGACGGACCGGTCTTATGGGAAAAGTGGGCCCGGTTAAATCGGCTGGCGTTTTGATATGTTGTAGGTCTTAACCTACTGATCAAAAGTGTCAATGGGCATTTCTCCCTATCTCGAAGTTTTACCCCCCATTTTGGGGGTCAAAGTTGCCAATTCGGCGTATAATTGGCAGTTTTGACACCCGGGTTTATTGGTCGCCTATGAGATTCTTTGATGGTTTCTTGAGTCTTTTGTATCCTCTGAATAGGCTAGAGACCATCCGAACTCAAAAACTGACAATTTCGCCTTATGGGTAAGGGGGGGGGGTGTTCACGCCACCGATTTCAGAGTCGGCGAGCCGCATTAAACCGATTCTTTCGCCATGTTTTGGAGAATTTTTTATGCAAATGATTGCGACTGCATCTTGAAAGGTCGACTAAGATGCAGCTCAGAATATACCCCCGGGGGGGGGGGGGGGGGTGCGACCGAACTCGAGCAGCGTAACTGGCTTGCGCGGGTCGGATCAAACCGATCCTTCTATTATGTTTTGGAGAACTTTTTTGCAAGTGACTCAGGCTGCTTCTTGAAAGGTGTACTAAGATGCAGCTCAAAATATACCTTCCCCCCCAGGGGGGGGGGGGGGGGAGGCGAAAACTGGGCTCTCGCGAGTTGCATCAAACCGATGATTTTGTCATGTTTTGGAGTTTTTTTTCCATCCCAATGAAACAGACTGCATTTCGGAAGGTCGACTGAGATGGAGCACGGAATATGCTGTATGAGAAAGGAGGTTTCTCAATCCGCACCCTCCCTCGCAATAGGATCTCTCAGCATAGGTCAGTGTGGCACTGACACTAGTAGAGTGACACTTTTGAATGTGGCTAGGACGATTAAAACTTCATACCGTTTAACGCATCATTCAATTTTCAGCATATCCTGATGCATTTCAGAATTTCGACGAGGGGAGGGGTTATTTGCTTTTGAAAAGAAAAAAAATTAAAAAGAAGAAGTACATGACCTTGTTTTTTTCTTAGATTTTCTGATTACGTAAAAAAATCTCAGCGAGCTCGCCTCACTTTCTGCACTGAGAGCTTCCAGGATTTGATCCATTACTTATGGAGCTCCAGTAGAAAGAATGAAAAACCCAGAACTCGTCAAATACCTTCAGAACTGATTGCATTGCATATATTGCCTTTTTGCGAATGCTTTGCTTTCTTCCTTGCCTTTCTTGACATTCTACAAAACTGTTTAATGCTCGATAATAATGTGCGATTTCATTTAAAAAATCACCTAGATGATATATTTCTGAAATCAACCGACGTTATATACGTCTCAGCCGTAGGAATCATCTGCACCATTAGCTTTCGCTTATAGAAATATTGGGCTCAGTCGGAAATGCGTGTCAGCTAAAACGACCCTCGGAATTATGTATGAGTGATGGTGGTGGTAAAAAATGCCACTATACTAGTGTCAGTGCCACACTGACCTATGCTGAGAGATCCTATTGCGAGGGAGGGTGCGGATTGAGAAACCTCCTTTCTCATACAGCATATTCCGTGCTCCATCTCAGTCGACACTTCGAAATGCAGTCTGTTTCATTGGGATGGAAAAAAAACTCCAAAACATGACAAAATCATCGGTTTGATGCAACTCGCGAGAGCTAGTTTCGCTGCCCGAGTTCGGTCGGCTTTTCGGCCCAGTTTTCGCTCCGGGGGGGGGGAAGGTATATTTTGAGCTGCATCTTAGTAGACCTTTCAAGAAGCAGCCTGAGTCAATTGCAAAAAAGTTCTCCAAAACATAATAGAAGGATCGGTTTGATCCGTCCCGCGCAAGCCAGTTACGCTGCTCGAGTTCGGTCGCACCCCCCCCCCTCCCGCCCGGGGGTATATTCTGAGCTGCATCTTAGTCGACCTTTCTAGATGCAGTCGCAATCATTTGCATAAAAAATTCTCCAAAACATGGCGAAAGAATCGGTTTAATGCGGCTCGCCGACTCTGAAATCGGTGGCGTGAACACCCCCCCCCCCCTACCCATAAGGCAAAATTGTCAGTTTTTGAGTTCGGATGGTCTCTAGCCTATTCAGAGGATACAAAAGACTCAAGAAACCATCAAAGAATCTCATAGGCGACCAATAAACCCGGGTGTCAAAACTGCCAATAATACGCCGAATCGGCAACTTTGACCCCCAAAATGGGGGGTAAAACTTCGAGATAGGGAGAAATGCCCATTGACACTTTTGATCAGTAGGTTAAGACCTACAACATATCAAAACGCCAGCCGATTTAACCGGGCCCACTTTTCCCATAAGACCGGTCCGTCGTCCTTTGATCATGGTCTTATTGACTTAAAGTAAGTTCTCGCTAAATTTCTTGAAATTTTTTAGAGAGTTGCAAGATGTGCCTTCTTGATTTAAAAATTAACATTAAGACTCAACGATTCGTAGCCTTCGAAACATGCTGAAAACAAACCTGCAGGCTGAGTTGGAGCAGCAGAGGCTGGGGTGGAAAAATTGAAGCCACTTTGGGCTGGCTGAGCTGCGGTTGTTGTTGCTCCGAAGGAGAATGCTGGTGCAGCTGCTGGAGCAGATGCAGGTGCAGTAGCTCCAAGTGTTGGTTGCGCTAGAGAGGTAGCACCAAATGAGAAGCCTGATTGGGCTGGTTGTCCTAGCTGTCCTGGTTGAGCAGCTTGGGTCTGTTGAGCTGGAGCTGAAGTTGCTCCAAAATTAAAACCTGGTGGCAAAGAGAGAAAATTACTGCAAAATAATCATCTGATAAGTTGAAAAATGATTTGGTTCAAGAAATTTGTTACGTAGCGGAAATAAGTTTTGATTACCTGTCAGATAATTTTTTTTTTTTTTTTTTTTTAAAAAGTTTTGGGTATTCGAAAAAATTTTTAAAGCCTTTCAAAACGTTTTCGAAAGTGGATACCAATAACTTTGAAACAATCGGTCTCTCAAGTCTCACATTGCCTATGTTGTAGAAATAAAAAAAAGTCAGACTTAAATACTGCTGCCACTTAAGTAGGACGACTTGTTACTTGACAATAAAACACCAACATGCATCAGAAACAATTTCAAAACACTGAGGAACCCTGGATCTATTAATTTTCATTATTTTATGCTATTCGTTCTTTCAGAGTTCAGTCATTGTTAAACTCAATTTAAATACTTTCAAATCTACATGTCAAGCACACTTACATTATTATTTTGAGAGGTAAACATTCTGTATCATTCTTCTCAGTGAGTGTTTAGATCTCAGAAAATAAAGAAGCTTTTCAACTCCAACAAAATGAGGAATACAAGCCCTAGTAGTGAGACATGCTGCCAGCCGAAAAGATGACTTTTACATTTTGGAATGCAGAAATAATACTAATATACCAGGCCAACTTTTACTCAGAATAGTGAGGTGACGGTGACAGATAAGTAATAGGAACTGCCTCTGTATTGATAGATGGCTTAGAATATTAAAGAAGCCACCATACCAGTTTGTGCTGGCTGAGATGCAGGGGTGCTTCCGAAAGAAAACCCTGTTTGTGCTGGTTGAGCAGCAGGTGTTGAGGATGCAAACTGGAAATTTGGTTGTGTGCTGGGCGCCCCTGCGAGGCCACCAAAACTAAGTTTCGGCTGATTGCTTGACAAATTAAACGGAGATGACTGAGCTGGAGATCCTGTGCCACCGAAGAGAGTTGTAGCAGGAGAGCCAAAAGCTGGCGTTGCAGCAGTTGTATTAGGGGTGCCAAACGGAGAACCGCTAGAACATAGAAACAGTTTACAGATCATTGCCAAAATACATATTTCAGTGGCCGAGCCAAAATAAAATTTTTTGTGTGGTCTTCCTGAAATTAATTAAGCTAAATTTGCAGTAACAAGACCAATCCACACAGGTCAGTCATTGCGCATCTTTTTGAAAGCCACTTCCCCGCCCGGCCCTAACCCGGCAGCACTCAATGCTAGGTCACAATGGGTGCTCTCATAGGAAATACATTGCAGGTACTCAATACTACGTCACTGCGCAGTAGTAGCAAACCGAAACTTGTCCTCAGGAATGACTGGCCTGTGTAGATTCGTCTTGTTGCCGTAAAGCTAGGTCTGGGGGATAATCTCACTGCCTCCAAAGAATCTGATGCTTCCATTTTCCAGTGACTAACGGCAGCAGTACAACCATGGATGGATGGATGACTATCAACCTTCCTACCCGTGCTCCAGACATTAATAATCGTTGGCTTTCGTAATATCGAATAATCGTAATAATCGATGGCTCTCTCACAAGCTGGTCAAATTGAATTAGAATGTAACGGATAGCACAATGAGGAACAAGTCTCACAATCATATTGGCGCTGTCCATTCAAATCGATGGGATCAAGATATTCACTCAGCATGAGGTTATGATCTCTGAGACTCTAAGAAATGTATTCTCTTGAAAATTTGCAGTGACTCTATTTGATAGACGTAAAATGATGGTATTATCTACGGCTAGAAGTAATGAATTTCCCTCCAACCATGCTGAGAGGAGTCGGAGGTTATCAAAATCTAAACTGTCAATACTGATAACAGGAAAAATATCTGATCGAATCCGTTACTAAAACAGCTCGAGTAGAATTAAAAAGAGTCAACTCACGTATTGAAACCGGAGAATGCCATTGTGAAAAGATAATTACATAAATTCAAAACAATTTGGACACATTCAAATGGGTAACGTTTGGATTTTGCACTTGCTTTTCAGCAGAGCTCGGCGTGTTGCGTCGTCGAACTTTAGTGCGATCTATCGAGGAAACAGCTGCTCATTGGCTCTTGCTCGATGGAACATGTTTGCCATCTTGACGGTAAGTAAATAATGTGATAAAATGTAAAAAAATGAATTTTTTATCTAAGAAAACGATACTTGTTACAGTCAACATTGTCACGTCAACAACGTCTTACTAATAAGAGACGCCATTAACTCATAAAATCAGATGTAAACGGATATTGTTTCACTTGAATTAGAACTGTCAAATTTGGCAGTTTTGAAACGCGCCTTAGGTGAACTTACGGGCGGGAAATTTCAAAAATAAAAATTCTTGTTTTCATGTTGGGTTCTGTGTGGAAGAAACAGACACTCTATGACTCTACCCACATAAAAGGTGTATGTGATAAAAAAGAAAATAATAAAATTTTAAACAGTACACACTGAAGTGCTTATTGTATGCTAAATTTTTTAAAGAAATCATTCTCTGTTAAAGTAACGAAAAAGCAGTTCACTGAGATCCAAAGAAACATCTGGATTCAGGTGTCATATCTTTCCAACGTTTTGAAACAATTATGATCAAATATACTCAAAAATTCTGAGAAATGATATTTTGATTGTTAAAGTGACATATTAGATTCAAATGAACAATGCACACCTAAACGTGGACTTATTGACTTGACTATGGAATGGGCCTTCTCCAATTATTCAAGTAAAAACTTTTATGTGAAGATTTTTTACAAGACAGTGACACTATAGTCCTTGGGCAGATAAGGAGGAAAAAATTTACCATGATTGCACATCTTCAAAATATTTGAAATGCCCTCCAAACTTTGGACGCTCTAGGAATTTTCAAATAAATCCTTACAAATCGAAGAGTTTAGTAAAAGGCCAAGTTCAAAAAGAAACGAAGAAAAAGATTTGTCTAGAAATACTTAATGACTACCTTGAAACTAAGACTAGTAAGTAACGATGGGAAATCCAAAAACAAGACTATTTCTGAAGTTTACCCAGGTTGTATCACTAGTGTTGTTTCCGACGATTTCCCATGAAATTTTGTACTGGTATCGGATATTGAACTGAGTGATTAGATTTTCCAAAATTTTTAGAAAGATTATAAAAAGTATCGATTGATCAATCAATGATCGAATTTATTCTCCTCAATACTTAACACCTGATGTAATGATAAATTTATTATAAAAATATACTTTACTAAACATGGTAATATTGAACCATATTCCTCACAGGTGAAGCTAATAGTCCGAGAGCCAGACGACATTCAGTGACAAAATCGTGACCCAAATTTTGAGCACTTAAATCTGCACTGACAAGGAAAATGGTTGTCTGCCACATATTGGCAGACGCTATAATGCGACAGATGACCATTTTCAGTGTCAGTGCATGTTAGGCTATCGAGTTAAGAGGCCAAAACCTGTACCACGAGTTTGTCACTAAATGTTGTCTGGCTCTTGGACTATAATGTAAAATAAAGAGAATGTCTTAGATAGGCTCTGCAGGTAACCTATGAAGCAACTGGATCTACCACTTCGTAATGAAAGAAACAGCCAACTGACACAAGGACGAAAAATAAGAAAAAACATGTGTTCATGAAACAAACAAGTAGATTTTAATAATTATCACAAAACGATTCATTTTCAGTTTGTTCAAAACTGGTGACTTTACATCGTAATAATATTTACTCACACTGCTGCTATTACGGATGGAAGTTTATTGAACAAGAGCAGCAGTTTTTACAGGAATTGATTTTAACATACAAGCTACACACATCTGATGGTTCAACAATCAGGTAAATCCTTTTACAGTTATGGGAACCCACATTTTTTTCCCTTCCGGGAACACGCAGTAACCACTCTGACAGGAAGATCTTCAATTTTCGATAGTGCTAAGTTTTAATTATTGAGTAGAAAGCTTCAAAACTACAAAACTTTACAAAGAAGCCTTCTCATTAGATTCTCTAGTAATTTATCGGTACAAATGATCAGCATGAATATTAGAGGCGATCTCAGATTCCCACTTGTCACCATTGTTCAACAGCTTTTCCTTGTTGTATAGGAGTTCTTCGTGAGTTTCAGTGGAAAATTCAAAGTTTGGACCCTTGAAAAAAAGAAGAAAAACGTGCGTTCGATTAGAAATGAGACATTCTTTATCCTCAAGGGACAGTTCATGCGATAAAGGATATTTTTATTCCAAACAAGACAATTGTTATTTGCCAACTTACATCCTTAGAATTGAGGTTTACCCCACTACCTATCACAAGTGATGCAATCTATAAAATGGCCATTAAAAGTTTCTTCCTGAGATAAAATCCTATTCAACATCACAGAAATCCCATTAATCAAAGTCAGATCTATTAATGCAGCTGCAAGCCATGCTAAATTTTTTTTCTGCGTCAAGCTTTCTGGCACAATTCTTGGAATTCATTTATTTTTTTTAAATCTGATGACAGAATTTTATTTCAATTTTTCATCTTGATTAAATTTTTATGTTTTCCCTAAATTTGGGCCCTCCATGGAAATTCAGGATTTAAAATTTTAATTTTGAATGCCTGCCTACAACTTCATCTTTTAAAAAAGTTAATTTTTTAGCAATTTAAATAATAAAATTTCCTTCAAAAAATTTAATTTCAAAAAGAAACAGCAAGATCTGCTGATTATTCCTACAGCATTTCCTTCTATTAATATGGTAGAGTTATTTGGGGGGACGAAAATTGAAAATAATTTTGTTGAATTTTTCAGTTTTTAGTGAGGATTCTAATAAGTGGGCAACAATATATTTCCTCCATTTGAATTTAATGTAAATGATAGACTTAAGGTTAAGCAAACTGCCTCCTTTTATACCACTTGTTTTGCACGACTACACCCAGAGTTACCAAATTTTAAAAATCACTTTGTTTATACAGGATTACATTATTAACGTAATGAACAGTAGAACTCATGTCACCAACAACCAGAGTGTCTCCTACCAAAATATTTTCATTTCTTCAAACCAAATCACAACTTAAATCGTATTTAATTTTTTTATTGTTTCTATAACTAGATAATAAACTTACTTCAACAATAGCATCAACAGGGCAGGCTTCTTGACAGAACCCACAGTATATACATTTTGTCATGTCAATATCGTATCGAGTTGTGCGCCTGCTTCCATCTGATCGTTCCTCTGCTTCAATTGTGATGGCCTAAAATGAGAGAATGTTGCTTTCTTTATGAGGTTTACATTAGCTACATTAATAGTTTGATATGTGATTCATGAATAGTGAAATAAGCAAGTCAAGTATCTGTGAAAAACCAACTTTTTTGGTGAGAAAAAACTGTCTGCATTTCTGAGCCATGATAATAGAGTGGTACTGATTCTTGAACATTATAACATGCTCTTTGACGCCTGCAAACATTTCTTAAAATAATTCCAACTGTCAGGGAATGTGACAAAAAAACCAAGATCGATGTTTTGCTAATTTGTGGCAAACAATTTACTTTAAGATTCATGAACCGTGAATGGAGGTTCCAAGGTGGTTTTTCCTGATTTCAGTCAAATTAAGGTTAAACCAAGTGCACAAAAAAACAACGCATATGATATCATACACCTTGGTGGTGCATACTTTGGTTTCCCTCGCCTTGGTCTTATCCATGTTTTACATTAAGCAAACAGTTTGAGCAAGCGTACCACTGATTGATAAAACTAAAGCCTAGGAGAAACCATGGAACACACTACAGTGGTGGGTGACATCATATGCTAATTTTCTGCAGGGTGATATCTCCACTGAAATTTGATATAAAAACTTGGCTTTTGAACAGATCTTATTATTTTTAGCTAATCTTAACAGACCCATTGCACTGAGGAACAATGTAAATCATAAATGCGCGACATACCTGTGCAGGACAAATTGCTTCGCACAACTTGCAAGCAATGCATCTCTCTTCGCCTGATGGGTACCTCCTTAAAGCATGTTCCCCTCGGAACCGTGGACTCAATGGCCCCTTTTCAAAGGGATAGTTAATAGTGGCTGGCTCCTTAAAAATTTGAGCCAGTGTGACACCCAGACCTGGAAAGAGATATTACATTTGAGTTATGAAAATTTTTCGCTGAATGCAAAACAATGACACCAAGTACATAGAAATTTGCTGAAGATTTTAATAAACTTAGATGTCAACGAGCAGTTAATGTCTGGGATGAAAACGATTCAACCTATATGAAGCAGACCCAAAGGCAGAGACTGGGCTGAGATTGAAATAATTTTGTGCAAGTAATACAAACTTAATGTTTTCTTCAGTAATTGGAAGGTATCATGTTCGTGCAATACTTATTGGTAATTCGGTTGCTGCATTTGGAACTGAAATGTTTGGGTAAGGGAAATTTCAATTCGTACTGCAAACTCAATATTACGAAACTTAGTGCAGCCTCAGCCAAAACAAACAAAATTGTTTATCCTTTAAACTATTCTACCCCTTCCCACAAAATTAGAACCTGATCACATTTTGAGTACCCTTACAAATGTCATTAATGGGCTCAGTTCTAAAGAAAAGAGGAGGAATCACAAATTTTATGTTCGGCAATTTTTATTTCTTGCTGACCTGTAAAATGAATTTATGTAATGAAGTGAACTTTTTAGCTGAACTGTCTATTCTTGCAAATGATCGAGCCTTTAGAATGCTTGGAAAAATTCATTATACTCACCTCTCATTATTTCTGTTAAGTAAATTTCATGCATTCCTTCTTCAAGACTATTCTTTAAATCATCACTGGTCGTCTTCAGTCCAACATGGACGTACTTGCTACGCTTTTGAACCAAATTATTGGTTGCAGCCTGTTGCAAAATTCTGTGTGTGGCACCTGTGAAAAGATAGTACTTAAATAACAGATAATTTTCAAAGGAGGATTGTTATGGCTCATAATGATGCAGACAGATGGGATTAGCTTTTGAGGGCTATTTAAAAAAAAAGGTTGGAAGTTTCTAGGATGCTGCTAATGACGCCTCGGTGTCAGTAAAAATTAGCTGTCACATGCAGCCTGAGGCTAGCGGGATGAAATGAAACATTGCAGAATGTTATGAAACTTCCACTCTAGTCAGGAGTGATGCCAAAACCATATATTCAGTGTAAATGCAATGCAAGGATTTTCACAAGTTTCGGCAACATTTAGGTTTGTCAGAAAAATACAATGGGACTCTCCAAATAGGCGTAGTTGGACGCTCGCTGACAAGCAGGGCAAGTGTGCTAACGATTCTAATGCTATGCTAGCACTATGAACTAGTTTGAGAGAATTATTTATTAGCGTATAATAATGATCAGTGGGCATTTTACAGTCTAAATACTTGGGAAGATTCTATTTTACAGAAGACTGAGTTGAATGGATTTAATTTTACATTCCAGCGATACCCTTCAGCTTCGTTTCATCCATAACAAAATAGAGTACATGTGTTACAAAGCAAATCCGGTGATTGGTCTGAAAAATTAATTACAGGCTTTGTAATTAATATTCCCATGTAGATAGACAGCAAATGAGTCTTCTCGTTAGGGCAAGTATATTGCGAATAAAGGTTCGTTACCTGGTAAAGAATGGAATCAATCCTCGGAAACCCATTCCAAGGAATGATAGAAAATGGTTTGAATTTACTGGGACACATTCGCACGAAAATAAGAGCGTTATCTAACCAGGATTCATACGAGAAAAACGAATGTTTTTCGGCAGTGTGAACTTGCAGAGGAATATAGTCAGATCTGCAACGAATTAAGGTTAGCTTTGGACCACTTTAAACAAGGATTAAAGAATGTGTTGGGCATAAGTACTTAGGGAAATAATTACAGGTATTGAGACTCACCTTGTCTTGCGAGAGAAAATATTTTTAAACATGCCATTTTGAACCTGGCAAAATGTCTGAAAGCTTATAATTTCTTTACAGCTTGATAAAAGTTCGAACTTCAGATGTCAACAATTAAAATTTCTTCTTCTCCCTTCTCGTCCCTCTTATCATTGAAGCTTCTGATTTGCACCACTTACAGCAGCACTTGCAATGTAACCAAACAACGCAAGTTTGTATGATTTCTGGTTTATCCTCAAACTTGAAGGCGCTTTTTCGCCGATTGATACGGGTTTGTTGCGCTCTTAACAGCGCACAGCATAGCTCCACAATTACGGCAAGAAATTACGGCCCGTAGGGTAGGGACGCTTTCATTCCCTTTAAAGTCGATGGCCAATTGAGCAAAACTGCGTAGCTCCGTTTCCGACGTTGCAAACTTCTTGTCATACTTTATTTATTACTTCCTTTTTTTAAAAAAAAAAATTTCGCAAACGTAATTTCTTAAAAACTTCCTTGATTTTTCTTCTCTGTCAGCAGAAGATTTTGTGTAAGTTTCAAGCTATAAAAATGACCTGTATTTCTCCACAAAAATATTTTAAGAGCAAATATTTTAAAACATTGGAATGGAGATAACTGCGTGATTTTGCACCTTGGAACTGTCAATCGATATTTTTTAGGGATCCGCTAATCACCTCTTTTTCAATACCATTTCATACCTAATGCTGATCATCATTTTATCGATTTCTCCATGTATTCCGTGCTCCTGAAATATTGCAACGTTGTATTAATTTTTTAAGGAAAACTAACCTACGTGTTTATTCACATTTTATTTTCATCATTCTAAAAATATTGCGAGGAAACGTTTTGAAGTATTTTCTTTAAAGAAAAAAATTGTCTAAAATTTTCAAACGTGGTTGATAAAACGATTGAGTTATGCATTTTCTGTATCTAGCCATCGATACCTATGTATCGACGGTGTAAGTCGGCAATCACATAACTCGTTTGCGGTGTCTGAAAATCTCCGCCTCTTTGTTATTTTTTTAAAGGAGAGCAAATTGACATCATTCCTTGAAGTTTTTGCAGAATTATCTTCGCACAGAGAAGAAAAATCACGGCAGTTTTAAAGAATTGTCGTTGAGTAGTTTTCCGTTTAAAAAATAAAGTATGACAGGAAGTCTACGACGTCGCAAACCGAGTTATGTGATTGCCGACTTACACCGTTGATATATCGCTTGTTAGTATGGCCGAATCACTCTGGGGGTTGGACATCTTGGATATCCGGG